TGTAAAAACTTCAATAGCTGAAACGTGGGACTTTGAAAGGTTTTGAGAATACATTCCCTCTTAATAATCCGCTTGAATCTTCTCAAACCCCTACGTTTGTTTAGAATTTAATTCTCTATTTAATGGCGTTTGAACGAAGCTTCTATGATTCATCGTTGAGGAGTTATTTGAAATTTAAAAAAAGTGGAAAATTTAAACTTTAAATTTTATTTCAAAATTTTAAATTTTGAATTAGAACGTCGAATTTCTTTTTAAAATGACCGCCATTTCACGCTGATTCAGAATCTGTATTGTAAAGTGAATTTTGGTCGCTGCGTTTTTTCAGAAAGTCGTTTTTCTCAAAGCCGATAGGCCAAAAACCACGGTTTTCTAGAAACCCTATTTATGAAGGTCTAGAAAAAACGTCCAAGAGACAAAAAGAAAGAGCATCGTTTCAAACTCTTAAGTTCCAAAAGAAAAGTTCGTAGCTTGTAAACTGATGGAGATAGCCTGGATCAACATTCTAATGTTACACGCCTATTACATTTGTACAAATATCTGAATTTGTAAGAAGAAAAAAGCAGAGGCGAAATCATGATTTAAACCTTTCCGGTTCTTTTCGTTGACGTTTTCCATGAATTTGATATACTCCTAAAACATGAGTAACAGCTGCTTCGCTGCTTTCCTTAATGCTAGATGAAAATGAAACGAATTATTGAAAGATCAGGTGCACGATCAAAAGGAAAAGCATTCTTCTTACCCTAAACGCTTTGCTTGTTTTTGTTTGGTCGATGCTAATCGAACAAAAAAAATTGCAAATTATCTTATCCTTTACTGACAAAAGTAGTTACTCACCATCTTGTTCTTTTTCTTGTGTTTGTCGAGACTGATCTGATGTCCGTTGATTTGCAGACGACGCCATTAAATCATCGTTTGTTGATACACGTGATGATTTTTTATCGTTTGGTTTCTTTTGCTCTTGTAAACCTAAAAACGGGAGGAATGAAAAAGACAATCTCATAGGGCGAAAGCGAGCTAGAAAGCTGAAAAAAACTTACGTTGTTTTGTTTATCTTTTTCCACGTCGTCATCATTTGTGTTAACTGGTTGTTCATCATCACTATCATCTCTAAAATAAGGGATAAACCAATAAAACCGTATAAAAGGATGAATCAAAGCTTAACACTTACTTCGATTCACTTCTTTCCTCTGCTGTATCAATAGCCGTACTATATCGCTTAACCATTTTACCCCTAAACAAAAAAAACATATCAGAAACGATCGTTTTTAGAGACTCTGTAGGCTCGATGAAACTCTCTTTCGCTTTCCTCCTATTTGTTTTAAAAGATGATGTTAGATAGGCTGCGTCAAAGTAGGAAGGAAAAATAGCGTACTTCTTTTTCCAATAAGAAAGACACATGTTGGAAAATAGATGAGTGAACAGTAATTGAAGAAAAGCCCTTGACTTTTTTTTCTACTGGCAAGATTCTACTAGGTGCAAAAGTATGGGATCAAGAATTAGATACTAAATTGATTGATTGGTTTGAATCGAAAAGAACAATGCCAGTCGATGAACAACAAACAACGACGATTATAAAAGAACTTATCACATTTAAATTATTCATTCGACAGGGTTCAGGAATTACTTCATTATTAAATATTAATCAAACATCCAATAAATGGTATAGAAGCTTTTTCATCGTCATAGACTCACGTTACAAAAACCTAAACGTTAGTAAAAGTTTTCTTTATCAGAAGCACATTCCAAAGTTGGATCTTTTCATATTTTTCTTCGTAAAAGTAGTCAAAAAGTTCTTAATTTAGGTGTTAATGGATCTTTCCCGGCTCAAGATATATGCAATATGGATGAAAGACCTCTTGCATTATGGGAAGATCAAAGTAAATGTAGTTTAAATTATATGAATACACCTAATGAAGTTGAAAGTATCTTAGTAGTAAATGATTTTGTACTTTAATTTTGTGTGCTTTTGCTGATGATAATACACATGTTGGTCCTGCCCTCATTTTTAAAGGCAAAGGCCGTGTTACAGATAATGAACGTAGTGAGTATGATCAAACTGTGAACGTTTATTTCAGTCCAAAGGGAATAATAAATAGCTCATTAATACAAAGCTATGTTAATTGGTGGTTGAGCAAAACACATGACGTTAGACCAAAAATGTTTATAACCGATTCTTGTACCTCACATACCAGTAATGAAGTAAAACAAATATTTAAAATGAAGGAATTGTATTCGGTATAATACCAGGCGGTTGTACTATGTATGTATACAATTGCTTGATGTTTTTGTTTTTTCAACATACAAAAGCCATTATTATAAGGCAGCAGAAGAGTATATCAAGACCAATGATTCTCGTTCTTCAGTTAGATTAACAGCCAGTCAGCAGCGCATTTATGCACCCGCTTGACAGCTACGGTATGGAAAAGAACGTTAAAAAGCATTCAATTTTCACAAGCTTTTACGCGATTTAGGTTATACATGAGATAATGATAGTGTTTTAATATTAAAAACTATCCCAGGCTACATTTTCGATCCAAAGTCTATCGATTTTGGAGATGACAACAAAACGGATAGTAGCCAAAATGTATCATACCACTACATTGCAAAAACCTGTTAAAATGAAGCAGAGCGCATTATTTAGTTATTTGACAAAAAATACTTAATTTTATATGATGAATGATTTTTATATGAAAGCTTTGTAATAGGAAATAAAGGATGTCAACAGTGCCAAACTCAGTTTGATAACTGATGTATATGCTGCCTACTGTAAAGAGCAATAAAAAAATGCCTCTAATAGAAGACCACTCTTTAATTCATGGTTTGACAAACAAACTAGAAGACCAGTAGTCTTTTATCCTAGGACGGGGATACGGACACGTATACGAAACAGATCCAGTATTTCTGGTGAATTTCTTGAAGATAAAGTCTTCTAGGTTGAGGAGAAAAAATGTCTTGCACTGCAGGAAGTCTTGTCTGCCAGACAGGGCATGGCAGAGCCACAGATATTTTATGAGTAATTTTCTGACAGGACAGGGCGAAAAAATTTGCTCGGCGATGGTCTCTGCCATCCGCTCTTGATCAAATTTACAAGTCATATCTGTTACCACTAATAATCTATGTTGATGTAGTTTACGTGTATTTAAAAGAACTACAGTCAAAGAACACACAACATTGATGAACATTGATAATGTTCTATCTTATTTGAAACCTTTCTGATCTACAATATGAAGGTACACTAATTGTCAGCGGAGCCATGCGCTTAAGTTCGAGAAACAGAGTACTGAAAACCCCAGGTTGGATTCCAATTGAGCATGTATTTCCAATAAATAAAGTTTTACTTTTCTTCGAAATAAAACTCGGATTTACATCCGCATTTCTAGCTCAAAGAGTTTTTAGAACTACTGCTAATCATATTCAGATCCTGCTACATCTTGAGACAAATTCATTTGATGTTTGAATTGTTTGTTTTTGTTTAGGTGGAATGTCAGACACTTTGCTTGTTTTTCAGCATCACTAACCGAATTATGTGCAGCATGAAATAATGTTAACATACGTTTAGTTAAATCTGTTTTGAAACAAATATTTTTTAATTTCTTTGCTTTAATGAATGTGTTGAGTATAGAATTTGTTGGCGAGTAGAACGACTGAAATAACGAAGGATGATCGATCTTCTGTATCCATTTCTTGACGAACCAACATTGTGACAGTTTGCGATTCTATTTGTCGATAAATTTAATGCAAGTTGAGTATTTGTCAAGTTTGTTATTCTATCGACAATGTTTTCATGTTGTTCCTCATCAAAGCCATGAAATCGTACGCACCATATTCAGTTATAACATGCCACGTGTCAGTTTTGGATTCAGTTTCATTTAATTAGTCGTTAATTGTCTTTACGATCGGGTTCAATAGTTTATTTAAGCTTTGTTTATTTAAGTCAGTTCAACCGAATAGAAATGCATTACTCTCACTAGCAAAAAGAAAATGGGAAAAAAGAAATACAAGTAAAACAAAAAAGAATAAAACATAAGAATAATAGAATAACAGAGCTATTGAAACCAATTCGGCGCGTCAACAAGAAGCTATTGCAACGCCGTCGCCTTGTCAACAAGGCGCCACTGCCACCTCCCGGGCTACTGTGACTCGGTCGGCCTGTCATCGGCAAGCTACAAGAACAAGTTGCTATTACCACTCTGCGGCGTGACAGGACATGATTTTAGAGTGCAAATTTCTGATTAAAATAACACATCTCTGAGCTCTACATGACCTTTCTTTGCAAAGTTATAGAATTTAGAAGAAAAGCTAATTATTAATTTTTTCTTTTATAGCTTTTGAGCTGAGGCTTTTCTTGTAAATTCTATAACTTTGCAAAGAAAGGTGGCCATCAATAGATAACTATAGACATATGTCTAGACAGACAACTGGGCTAGAGAGAGAGGGGGACAGACAGACAGACTGAGAAAAAGGAAAAAAGAGAGAAGAACAGACGGCACCTGCACTCGCTCGCTGGTTCTCTTTCTGTGCACTAGCGGACTACTGTAGTTTCATTTCATTCTTATAAAAAAAATATAAGTCTCACATTAT